ACAGTTAATAGGAAGTTGTAGCAGTTATGATATTCAGGCTGCAGCCATAGCCAGATGTCAAGTTCCCAGTCTGGATTCTTGTGGCTCTATCACAAAAGATACCAAGAAAGTCCACAGAAAAGTCAAGATGGTGGCTGCTATGGCGCAAAGCTTGTTTTTTTTATGTGCATCATGCTGATTGCACCATTGTGGCTGTCATCTTGACTTTTTTTACCACCTCTTGCATACTCACCTGCATGGGGTGGCTATTTTTATTTCATGCAAACAATCTAGCATAGATAAACACAAATTTGAAACAAGCGTTGTGTGGAAAGGGTTACAAACTTGAGAGGAGAAAAATATGATTCTAAAACAATGCAGCTACTATGGCAATAAAAATATAAAATCCTTTCTGTCAACTGAAAAGTAATTAAGACTGAACCAAAGTTCATTGTTTTCATGAACTTTTTTGACTGCAAGGACCTTTCTTTGAGGGTATTTTACAATGATTGCTTTGTAAAATGAAAATGCTTTCTTTCTGAACAACTTTATTTGATCTCTGAACCACAATATTGTGAGGTTATTGGTTCCATATCACGAAGATATTATTAGTTCTGGTCACTGAATTCAATAAAGGTTTGTTGTGGTTGTTGCTTTATATAATTCCACCCATTTAATTGAATCCAGAAAGTTTTTCCTTTAATATTAATTGATGCATTGTCCTCAGCAACCCCATGACATCATGATAACATTATATCATGTCCAGGAAGAAGCCACAGAATTTGTACAACAAAAACAGTAAATTAAGCAGATGGTAAAAACAATGACAGGGAACAGGAAAAGAAAACTGACTATTCCCCTGATGGATGGAGGGAAGGATTGTAGGAACTAATCTTCCCCCAACACATGCATCTTTGTACTGCTGATTTAACTTAAAAATAGAGATGGGGAAATACAGTACCTTTTACAGATGTTTGAAGTTCCACTTCAGCCACAAAAAATTGATCAAAGACAAACATAGGACAGGGAACTAAACATCCTGTTTCACGAGATATTTCAGCTGCTAATTACATTTGTGAAAAGCAAATAGCTTCCTCTCTACAATCCAGCCCAGGAAGTGGCTTTTCCCACCATCTGCCTCTTGATCTTGTTCTACCTAGATGGAGCAAGGTGTATGACAATGGTTGTAAACGGCACACGCTTAAGCAACTCTGGAAACATGAGGGCTTTATGTCCTATGTCGTAAGTGAACACACTGATCTATTTATTTCCCTTTTACTACATTATCATACCTCAGGATGGTCACTCACGTAAAACAGTTAGATATAGTTCCAATGTCTGTTGCTGAAAATACTCTTACTACAACTACTACTAATAGCGATGACGATGGTGTAGAAATACATTCGGAATAGTAAATACTGAGGGGATCAGAGTTTTCTGCAATCAGGGTAGATGTTTAAGGAGTGAACCGAAGGATGTTCAAACAGCCAAAAAACCCGCCCCCCCCCCCCACATACACAAAACGAGCACACAAATACAACTCAAGGGATCCTGTCTGATAGTAAGGAAGAGATAGTCTAACCTCCTTTTGACAGACATGGGGTGAGCGAGCACTGCTGAGCATTTTGCAGCGTGAAAACCAGCCACTCTCACCTTTGTGGAAAACCAAAACTCTGGCCCTTCCGGATTAGGGTCCACCTGGTGTTGCTCCCGAAGTTGGAGCTGTTTGTGGAGGGTTTTAAAAACAGCACGTGAAATTTGTGAGGACAGGGTGGGGAACAGGCCCCTCATTTGTTGGCCCTAAAAGAGACCCTGCAAGTCCAGTAGAAATACAGTTCCCTTAATTTCTGAACAACTGGCCAGCTGCATTTGCTAGAGCTGATGGGAACTGGAGTTCCTTGGTCCTGAACTATAATTTATAAATACAATTTAGATCAGGTATAGGTAAGGAGGGAACAGTGTTGTTCTAGAGCAGTGTTTCTCAACCTCAGCTACTTTAAGATGTGTGGACTTCAACTCCCAGAATTCCCCAGCCAGCTGGGAGAACAGTGTTGTTCTAGAGCAGTGTTTCTCAACCTCAGCTACTTTAAGATGTGTGGACTTCAACTCCCAGAATTCTGGGGAATTCAACTCCCAGCTGGCTGGGGAATTCTGGGAGTTGAAGTCCACACATCTTAAAGTAGCTGAGGTTGAGAAACACTGCTCTAGAGACTGGAATTCTACTGCAGTCAGTCATGCAAATTCTTAATCCCTGGCTATTTCTGACAGGCTGTTCCTGGTTCTCTTACCAGTTGTAGGAGAGGCCAGCCTGCTTGCTCCTCTTTCTCTAGATAGTTGCATGGGGGGGGGGCAGGAAAAAGAGCGAGTGGGTGCTTGCGAGGAAAGGGGATGGCTTTTTTTCTTAAGGAATCACAGCCAAGGATCCAAAAACCTAGAATTTTAAACTGGGGCTACTGTAAGGAGGGCATGACGGCTGCAGTAACCCCAACTTGGGGGCGTTTCAGGGCAGCTGGATTTGCAAGGAGTGGCCTCTGTACAAATGGGACATCACCTTTCTTCTATCGTTCAATCAATGGTAATCCCCTTTTGCTTTACTGTCAGTATGGCTCAAAGCTTGCAACTTCATTATTCGTTTTTCAGACTTTAAAGGGCTGTAGATCAGTACCAGCAATTCAAGGCTTTCAAGGTTCATTTAAAAGCAAGTCAAGTTGAACCATCCAGTGCTAAAGAGCTCAATGCAAAATTCTGGAAGTTTGCAAAGCTGCAGAGAGGCGGTGTGGCACAGATTCATCTAAATCATCTCTCTGAATGGTTTCAGAGAAATACAAACAGGATTCAAAGTCTATGGACTGACTTTGTGGCATCTTAAACTGTGTTCAACTATCAAGGGGAAAGGGATAGGAGCTATGATGGGCTGATACTGATAGGAGTGGCTGGCCGGCTTGTTTCTTGGAGGGACTTGGTTCATTTCTGCCTTATTAAAATCTGGTATCTGAGTTTCTTGGGTGATCCTCTAGCTTCAACCTACATCTTTATTTTTCCTTAATTCTCACTCTCATTTATCTAACCAGCAATCCAAGGATGGCCACAGGATGTGGTAAAAAAAAAGGTCAAGATGGTGTCAGCAATGGTGTGATTGAAGCTCCACCTGCCTATAAAAAAAGTACCTTTTTTTTCCTACCAAAAAGCACCAAATCTACCAAAAGCACCAAAAAAAGTAGCGTATGGCTTAAAGGGGTAATATACAATTCTCAGAATGTTTAATTGGCACACAAGCAAGTCAAGAACACCCCTCTTTTCCCAGAAAACTCTAACACTGCCCTTCAGTTCAGTCATGCCAATGAGCTTGCCAGACTGGAAAAAGAAAGGTTAGTGGGTGGAAGACTTTTTGCTTAAAAAAAAAAACCCTGCTGTGCGGTGCCAGTAGATGCTCTTCTTGTTTACTGTTACAGATTTCTCCATCATTCTGCAGCTTCTGCACCCTGGCTGCCCAAAAAGAACCAGGGCAGATGGTTCTTATATGGTGCCTCCCTCGAGATGTAATGGAGCCTAATAATGCTGCAGATACCTGGACATATGATCATACAATGCAAGACAAGATCGCAACCACCTCATAACTAAAATAAATGCAACAACTCTTCAATCTCTATTAATATTTGCCTACTTTCAATCTTTAAAGATCAAGTTGTCTTCAAACTGTGCTCAAGGCATGATGACTTCATGGATTCACCCATGACATTTTCTTACCAACAACAGGGATTGTTTGTCACTGTTTTCTTCCAGGAATTCTTGGGATTATCTAAGAACCTGGAGAAGTTTAAAGTGTCCTGTGAAAATAATAGAGGGATGGGCTGAGATACAGATAAAGCAGTTTCTCTCATTATCTTAGGCACATGAAATATATTCCTTTAGACTTCCATTAGAATTTAATCATGTAGATTTACTTCCAGCTGTGAACCAACATTATACACAAAACAGTACAAAAGCATGTCACAAAATGTGAATCCAAGAGATTCACACCCAAAGGAATTAGAAGTAACTGGCTGAAAAAGCATTTAAATGGCTTTTCGAGAACTTCAACTAGTATGGGGGAATGAAAGGGGATGTTTTTACACATGAAGGCAATGAAACTTGTAGGAAAGAAACTCCACTTAAACGAACAGCTTCTTAATTTTTGTTCATGATGCAGGTACAGAGTGATAGAATTCTGAGGGAAAATATGCCAATAACTTAAGTTTATTAGTCAGTCAACAATATTACAAATATTTAAAAATGACTTATCATATAAATAGTTGGCAGCAAACTATTCCATTACAGAGTTAAATTACCAGTACAACAGACAGACTGGAGATTTAGACACTGGAAGATAACAGTAAAATGAACGGAAAGGTTTTAAGCTGAAGGTGAGTAACCAAGGGAGCGTTCTATCCAACCCAGGCTGCTTGGGAATTCGCCTCTCTGCCGGGGAATTCTGATGCTCCCCTGATCCCAATGCAGCTGTCGCAGCAGCACCGGGGGCAACGACCTTCCACCGGCGCCCTTCAGATGTGCTGGATCCCATCATTCCAACCTTGCGTGACCAAAGGTTGCAGGGCTTGGAAATTCTGGAAACTGTACTTCCTAATTCTATCTGAAGGGCACAGCATTGGGGAGGCCATGTTGGTGCATTGCTTCCCTGTGTCCATAAAAAGCATGTTTTTTTTTTCTTCAGGAAAAGAAAATGATTTTAACACCCCATTACGAATACAAAATAAACTTAACAGAAGATATTAATTTGCATATCAAAGAACAATTTATAATTACAATCCAAACACTCCGTAAACCACTTGTGCGATTCTTTACAGAAACTTGAATTTAGAAACTAGTTGCTTTTAATATTACAAAGATTTCAGCTCCAAAAATAATTCAACATAAAATAAACTTTTAGCAATTAGCATCATAAAATTATATATTTCCACATAAAAATACAAAATAATATTAATGACAAGAATATGAAAAATTATTCCAAGTACTTTTGCTATTTGAAACAAAACAAAGAAACAAAACCCAAAATGACAACAAAATAGAAATATGCATGAAAAAAGTCTCTCCCTTTGTTAGCAAAACACTATCCAAAATAACTACAATCATTTACATCAGTACAAAGATTTCTGAATTTTAAAAAATAGTAGCAATGACAAAAGGGGTTTTCTTTTTCTGACAGTAAAAAATGACACTGTGGATAAAATTTGCAAAAGATGCAATGAAAAAATAAAATTTGCATTAAAAAGGTTTACACGGTTATTCTTTTTATACAAACATTAGAAACAGTATTGCACATCACAACACAGAATCGAGGTTAGTCAGCCTTCCAAAATGTGTTATATTCAAGTTTTGTAGCATCTTTGAGGAGAGGCCTTGGGCAGCCAGATGCAAACAGGGAATTAAGGATCAAGTGTTTTCCATACACAAATATATAAATGCTAAATGTTTCCTTCTTAACAAAAAGTGTGGACTTTTTAAAGTTTTTTTTTTCCTTCCACAGTCATACATTTGAACAGCAATATGCACATCTGGGATAACAAAAGTAAAGAAGCTTTAAAAATACAAAAATACAATAAAATTAACAATCTTCTACAAAAATAGTAAAATAAATATGATTTATAAAACAAAAGCAATACAGTGGTGAACACTGGAGAAAACAGGGGCCCAATCCAGCAGAAAGACTCTTATACCCTCCCCCTCTCTATTAATAAGCAGGAGGTACGCACAAAATCCGTATGTCCCACCTCTCCTCTAAGAAATGAAGGGAGACCAACAGATCGACTGCTTTGTTTCAAAAGATGTCAATGCAAGAGATCCCTCCACTGAATTAACACCCAAAATTCATGGATTAAGGACCAAAAAAAAAAAAAAGGGAGATGTAGGTTAAAGTAGCTATTAGCATTAATAGCTCCAGAAATGAAGTGACAAGCATAGCTTGATAATTTTGATGAGTTTACCCATCTCAAGTAAAGGGTAACACCACCTTTTTGACAGCTTTATTGTAGGGGAGAAGGGGGGAAAAGGCTTTTTCAACATCTCCAATTATTTCAATTGTGTACTATTTTTCGGTATTATTTTCATTATTTAAAACATATAAAGGCGCTTCAATTTTAAACTTCAAGCAAGAAATACGAAAATAAAGTTAAAAACATCTGCAGAATTAAATTATATTTAAATAATTAACATTGCAAAACTACTGATTTTTCTTTTTAATTCCAAAAATTGAGGTATAGCAAAGGAGATGTAATCAGTCAAAAAAACTGTGCCTTGAAATAGCTGACTAGTTGGAAAAAAATCTCTTACAGAGATATAAAAATAGTGCATAACAAATGTCAAAAATGGATCAAGGTTTAGCAGGGCTTAAGGTTAGAAAAGAATACTCCAAAAAGTCTGGAGGATCATGGTTAAGTAACAAATAGAATACATTGATAAATAAATCAGTTAAAAAGCTTTTTTTTAAACAGCATCAACTTTAAAACTTTAAAAACCTGAACCACAATCACAACAAAACAGTAGCGTTAGACATGAAACATACAAGCAGCTCACTAAGACAACCAATTTAAGAGCAAACTACGCTTCCATAAAGGATTGTCCCCGAGGGTTTGGCAAGAGCACAACCCTGGTTAATTTCTCTCTGTGGAAAGGGCTGCAATTCTGGACTTGCTTTTATTGGGTGCTTAAACCGCAGAGTAGCTCTTCCACTGGAACATAAAAGCTAGTTGCACTGACATGTTCCGAGATGGACAAAAACACTGCTAGTGAAATTCTTGCACTTAGGATCAAGAAAATGTTTGTTGGCTTGGTTTACACCACCCAAAATCTTGCAAGCAATACCATTACTTGAAACGGCTTCATCTGGATTAAAATCTACACTCGACTGTCAGTAAACGAACTGGATTTCATGCAACAGCGATGCCATTTTGATAAATATACTGTCAAGTGTACTGAGGTCAAGCAAGAACAGACAATTTAAGCCAGATTTCACTGTTGCCTTAAAGATAAGATTTACCTTCTGCAACTAGCTGTAGAAATATTATACCATCTCCATTTTGACTTTATTTAGATTTTTATTAGTAAAGCATTTTCTTGGTATCAGCATGTTTTAGTGCTCATTTCTCAGTAGTTTCCCATTTGGTGACTGGTTAGCAGTGGGCTTCCCCATCTTTGGTTTGGAGAGGAAGTTTTAACCATGAACAATCAATGGGGCTGAAATAAATAATAAAATATTCTAATGTTTTACTCAAACTTGTGTCTATGCTATATTACTCCACAGGAATTAGAACCACACACCACATCAATTACAACATTACATCCAGTCTGTAAAAATTGAATTCCACCACCAACCTGGTCACAAAATGGCTGCACTTTCTAATCTAAAACTAATTTGCATATTGTATACATGTAGGACATCTTTAGAAAAAAAAGCTTGAGTCACAATAATGCATGCAAGTTTCTTTTGTTACAAATTTTGCAGTGTGCTCATGCTATCTAGATTTCAGAGCCTTATTTTAAAAAATCGGCAATAACTTATCTCTTGTTAAATCTAGTGCATGCGTATGCTGTATACAGGTAAGTAAACATGCAATTTTCACATTCTAAAACTATGGCAGTTTGCGCCATATTGTGCTGCCTGCATTTTAATGGGTAATGCAGAACATCTTAAAATGTTTCCATCCCGTATTTATAGGTGGCATTACATACAACACCTATATAGCAGCAAAGCTAATACAGCTTGTGATTATAAATGTTTAAAAATAGCTAATAAATCAGATTATCTTGAGGTATTATTTCTTGCAAGTCAAAATGGAGAGCAAAAAATCAACCCTATTTTTTAAAATTGATGTATACACTGAAAATAGCAACAACGATAAAAAATAAGCTTTTTGTAGCAGACATATTCCATCTTCTCTATTTTTGCTACCTTTGGTAAATTAGTGGGGCAGATCTTGAAGTTAAAAACCCATGTTTAGAAATAAGTGCACGCTTCACCCACTAACTATAGCAGCAGACAGTGTGCCCCTATGCAAAAAACATTCTCTCATCTAGTTTTAATTCTACATATAAAAATAAGTTGGAGAAAATACAAAAAAACTTTTTTATTATTATTATTTTAACATGAAAATATCACAAAAATTAGTAAGCCTGAGATGTAGGGTTTTGGTGAAAAACAAGAGGCTTTGTAGTATTTTGGCTGCTGAAAAAGATGCATGTCTAAGAGAGCTGGGGTGAGAAGCAGAAGAATGCACTTATTTCTTCTGCATGTCAGTATCTTCAAGCTGAGGAAGCCTGCCTGCCTGCCTGCCTTCCACCTCAGTTCCAGCGGAAGTGGATCTGCCGTGGCCGGTCCGCCCCCTCCTTAACCAATGGCTTATGGAATTCACGCCCCGCCCGAGAGTGGATATTTGCCCAGCAAAACTCACAGTAATACTGCAGGCAAGTAACATTGGCACAAAAAAAAGGAGCAAACTTTCCACCACATCGTGCGCCCTGGCATTCATCACACATCTGGTCATCCAACACATATGGCTTTACCTCCACCTGTTTAAAAAACAAGAAAAGAAAAGAAAAGAAAAGAAAAGAAAAGAAAAGAAAAGCATTAATACTGAATATTTGGACTCTGGAATATTGTTTTCTCCTTCTCCTGGATAACACATTGGAATATCCCCCGAACAAATCCCATGTCAGTTAAATAAGGCTACAGAGTTATACTCCATAATAATACTATATTGTAACTACATGCTGGTATAAAATAGCAAAGTGACAAGTCTGCTATGAGATCTACACCTTTTGGTCAGAAGTCATAAGCAAAAAATTCCTAACCATCTTGCTTCCTCATTCCTCTCTTTGCAAACAGGATTCACAATTGTTACAAAGCTGCAAATAAAGAATTAAGATATCAAGGCAGCAAATATTACTACTAGTATTTTAACTAGTATTCCTGCTTCTAATTAAAGAAACTGTATCCTTGGAAGGCCTCCAAGTTACCTGGAGTTGAGCCCAATTTGGTGGCATGTAACAAACTAACAGATACATATTATAATAATACATTTCAGAAACAACTGATATTAAAACAAAGCAAAAACACCCCCTGCCTCCCCAAAAATGTTTCAGAAGATATATTTCCAGAAGTGGTCACCAGAAATAGGTTAAGAAGGAAAAGAAAACTGTATAAAGTTAGGTGTTATGATATAAGCCCAAGCAAGAAAAACTCCTGCATACATTATTTAAGATTACAGACAATATTACACCTCTACCATCTACCAACAGTCATTCAAAGACCTCTACTAAGTATAGATACTAGGAAACAAGTTATGATGAACATCCACCTACAAATTAGGTTTTTTTTCATGGCAACTGGCTTGAGGACTAGGTGGTACTTCCGTCCCTCCCCACTCTCACACTAATTTTTATACTTCCTTCCTAATCACCTGTTTGCTCTTATTAAAAGAGGAACAGATGCTATGAATAATCAGTTTCATCAAGGATCGTGTTTCGTAACTTGTGAAAAGCAAACGATGCAAGCTTAATAATTCTCTGCAAACTTACTCGTTTATCAATATCCCCATGTTGAAGCTGAACAAACCGAGCACTGATGGCAGCAATGTAGCTCTGTTGATTGGAAAAAGCCACTCGCCCAGCACCTTTGGGGTATTTTAATTCAGGATCGGTGTCGATTCCTGCATAACACACTCCACCATAGAGACGGTCCATTATCATAGCCAATTCCACTACAAAGCAACAAAACACACTTGCTAAAGTGCCTTTAAGTAAATCAATGGATTTTAAATAGAAAAACTACTTGGAAAGTTATAATATGTAATACTGTATGCGATATAGAATATAGTCTACAACTTAATGCATAATCCATGTTAGAATCCTCTGCTTTGCCGTACACCAAAATGGAGCAGTAAGGACTAGAAGGGAACCAGGGGCATCGGGGGGCTTTCAATAAAAAGCATGGAAGACACATTAAAAGAGGCAGGCTTTGATTATATGGTCACAGCTGCCTGCTAGACCTTTTTGACCCCTCCCTAGTAGATGTGTTCAACTGCATAACAGCATTGCACAAAGAACATTGTGGAGATGGAAATGGAGACTTTTAGATGTTCTTGATCAGACAAGTTGTGGTGCCACAGGTTTTCGGCTTGATACCTAAAAAAAGGTTATTCAATTGGATTTAAGGCTAAGTCAATTCAGTAAACAGACTTGACGAGGTAGGTCTGTAGGCGTGTTGTAGAAGTTCATCAGAGTCACACAATCTATGATGGCTCCAGACATGTTCAAATGGAAAAACAAAGCGATACCAGAACAGATTCTATGAATGTGATCAACTCAGAACTCTAATTGATCAGACATTGCTATTGTGATCCACTATGTTTTAAAAATATACTTCTGCAGTGGAACAGAAGGAATAACCCAAGTGTTGATTTCTAGGAGGGATGGGAGAAGGGAAAATTAGTCAAAGGTGAACTGTGACTGTCTTAAGAATCTCTGGGTAAGTACAACTAATCCAGAATGTGTTGGACAGTGTACTAGAAAGAGCATACACTATTATGCTCCTTTTAAAACTACTGCAAAGTCACTAATCTGTTGTCAGGTATAATTCAGATTTCTGGTGTTTATCTCTGAAATCTTAAATGGCTTAGCCCCAAGGAATCATCTTCTGCACAAGCCAGCCCACTCTTTAAAATTTGGGAAGAAACACCCCCACCATTTGATGGAGACTCACGAGGACATTCCTTTTGCTTCCACCTTTAACACAGAACTTCTGTGTTCTAACTTCCTCTATTTCTTCAATATTTTTTTCTTCTTACTCGAGATATTTAGGTTGTTAGGTTGAGATTTTTAGTGACTGTGATGTATTACATTTATTTGTACCTCATCTTTTTCAGTAACAAGCCCCCACCTCCAAAGGGACTCTCATTTACAACTATGAATGTAAATCCAATCATATAAGTTTCCAGGACTCTTCCCACAGATGACAGGATTAATGTTAGTTTTGACATTTGGATATATCTGAAGAAGCTTTGGATAGCAAAAATGATTTAACATGATATTCTCTGAAATCAAATTAGCTTGCTATAATTAGAATATAAAAAGGTCTGTGTATATTTCTTTTTTATCTTTATTTTATTTTTAAAAATTAATTTAATTTGTTCAATTTAGGCACCACCCAAGTCCCAAATGACTCTGGCGGCATGCAATAAAACCAAACAAAATACAAAATAGGAAAAATACAACATAATAACAAAGTGATAAGAAAGAAAATAACAAACAAGAACAGATGGTAAGTCCGGCTAACAGAACCCCCATCCACAAACATATCCGATAGGGCCCCCAATCACTCTAACTCAAGTTGTGGTTAGATCTTTAACACTTTCCAGAATGCTATCAGGACGGGAGTCACACAGATATCAAAGGGCATCTCATTCCAGAGGACAGGCACTGTGGCAGATAAGGCCCACTTCTTGGGTCTCAATAGATGTGTCCAAGTTAAAGTTTGCATTAGACTTATTTTTAAAATATATATTTTTTAATATTGATCTGAATTCTCAGAGCTTGGTCTCCTGGTCCTCTAATATAGGAATTGAGTGTTATTTCTAATGGGAAGCATAAAATATTGTAGCAGCTGTTACCATGTACAAAGCTAACTCAGTATACTTTGTATAAGGTTCAGTGATACTCAGTAGCAAAACAGCTGGCAGGAAGGGAAAATCAGTATTTAAAATATGTTTCATTTGACAATGAATCAACTTTCAAAATTGCTCACTTTGTGACATTGCCATCATATATGAAAAAATGTAATGGTATTACACTTTACATTTCCATCAGATTTTTAAATATGCATCATCTACTTTGAAAACCAATACTGGAGTACCTGTTTTCTCTGAGCTAATATTCACAAATTTAGTATCTGTTTTCCAGTGATGTTCCCCTTATTGCATATCAATTGTCTACTTAAATCCTGCATCAATTTATAATCATGCAATCTGACTTTCAGTTCAGTTTCTGAATCATATTTCAGTAACAACTATTTCATCTTGCTTTTGTTTTTTCCGTAGAACAAAATTTTGAAGATACTGAAATCAGTGAAGCTTTTCTAACCATTCCAAGGAAAGATTCTTGAAAGTTCTGATCTTTATTAAAGGTTAGCACTTGCCATTTATACAAATTGTTATTTCTCCACTGATCAATTTTTTTAGGATATTCACCTTCATAAAAATAAATATTTTACACTGAGGCCAGAATCGATAAGCCTGGGTTTATTCTTTTTTATATATTTGTCCCATACAGTACTTTTAATAAGCTATCTATAATTAAATGATTTTGTAGGCACTGGACAGCTGTATTTGTACCAGACTAAAGACTGGTAGGCTAAAGAGTAGGCTGGTAGGCTAAAGACTGCAGGCCTTCTTGGAATCCTGCTCCTTCCATAGAAGTAATCCAACTATACAGTGTTATAAGCCAATTTGTAACCCAAGTCAACCAATTTGAGAGTATAATTTAAAATTTGGTGCCGCTAATCTACCTCATTCTTTTGCATCTTGTAGAATACTAAGTTTCATGTTCAGTCCTTTATTTGAGCAAATTAAATTAGTTATATGTCTTTGCCATTCATTCAATGTCTCTTCAATTCTTATTGTGATAACTTGGAATAAAAATTTAATCCTTAATGAGACACTCTTTTTTTATTGTTGATATTCTTCCTAGCCAAAACAGCGTTAGCTTTTGTATCTTAAAATATCTGCCATTTTCTTTTTTCAGATCGGTGGACAATTATTTTCCAGGCTTGATTGGCTGGACACTGATATTAAACCCTGCTGTTTTTTGCATTTTCTTTTCAGATAGATTCCATGTGATCATCTGTGCCTTATTCTTATTGATCTGTTCTGTATGTTCCATCTATTCTAAAGACTCATTTGGATGAGTAACTATGAGTACATCATCGGCATATGATTTTAATTTAAAATCTTGATTTGCCAATTTGATTCCTGAATTTTTCTTTTTTGCCATATTTTTCTTGCCAGTGGTTCTAATGCCAATAAAAACTGAAAAGGGGAGAAAGTGCAACCTTTTCTTATCCATTTTATAATCATTCATTTTTGTGATAGAAATCCATTTACAATTAACCTGGTTTCTTATTTACTGTGAATACTTTGAGTCCTCTGTAATCTTCTCCAAGCGTAATATCCATTTTCCATGTAGCTGAGAATACTATTTGACAAATTGATTTGTCAGCTCCTTAAGACAGATTTCTCTCCATCTCAAATTGAAGCAATAGTTCCTTTCTCTTCTTTTCTCAGCTGATAGGCCAATAATTTATGACCTTTCTCAAAGTACTTCTGCTTAACAAAATCCATCTTCTTATAAGACTCATTTGCTTCCAAAAGATCTAGTTCATTACGAATTACCTTAACCTACTGCTTTACATCCAACACTGGTTTCTGCTTTGTGCCTTGATTCTATTTGCTTCAAGCCATTTAATAATATATCTTTCTGTTTTTGAATGTCTTTCTTTCTATTCACTGCCAAGAAATAAATAGTCCTCTCATAAAGACTCTACCAGATTCCCATAATGTGAATAAAGGAACATCAGGAATTGAGTTAGTTTGGAAGGAACTCAGAATGGCATTTCATTGTAGTATCTTTTTGTAGTTACAATAGGCCATTCAGTCTCCCATCTTTTTGACCTAGTGATTCCTGTATGCAATTTTGTAATTATTATATCATGGTCTGCATAAGAAAGTGCTTCAATTTCCACTACTGTAAGTTTAGACAGTAATGAACTAGATGCCAGTGCATGTCTAATATAGAGTAAATTTCATACACAATAAAAAAAATCTGGTAAAATCTATGTTGTTGTATCTCTGAGCTTTATTCCAATTTCTATTGTTATTGCAATCTCTACTTATTCTAATCTCTCTTGTTGTATCTATAAGTTTTAAAGGGATATCCTGCCCTTTTAGCTGCAGTACAGCATCCTTTATTGTTAAATATGTGAATTTAATCACGTATCACATGATCTCTATATATTTCAATTATTATTTATAATATTTAGGACAGGACTTCTCAAACTGTGGATTACAAGCTGCTGGGGGTTGATGACCAAATCTGGGGATGGTCTCAAATTCCAGGCAGCTGGAACACAGAGGAAAGGTTTGCTGCTAGAATCTGCTCCTGGCCTACCTGCATAGGCTGTTGTCTAGGTAAAATGAGAGGGTAGGCTGGCAGGGCTTTCATGGTGTGTGCATTAGATCACTGTAAGAATTTGCTCCCACTTTGCTTGGACAGACCAGTAGTAGGCTTGAGATTTCCTGCAGCTGCTACTGAAGACCCAGGTTGAACATGATGGTAGGGGTGAGAAAGGTTGTCTCAAAGTTGGAACCCAGATTTCACAGGTTGTGTGGAGCTGGGCAGGCTTATCCTTCCTACTAAGGGGTGTAGTTTTGAATCTCGTTGTTTTGCTATTTGTTTCCAATAAAAAGGTTTTATCAATTTGTCTGATTGCAAGGTTTTTGTTTGTTAAGTAGACTGAAATTTATTGAGGGTGAATGGCATTCAACTGGGGAAATGGCATTAGGATAGACAAGAACATTACCCCCTCCTCAAAATACACTTTCCCAAGGTAATAAATTATTAGCTTAGCCATAAACATTTAGATACTATTTAGAATGCTAATTAAGACACAGTAGGGGGACAGTGAAAGTGCCAGGAAGCAAGACCATTAGATAACACCTACAGAAAAGTAACTGTCAACAGAACCTTTTCTTAAAAAAGACCGTTTCTGTTTAACTCAATAAGCCACTGCATTTGTACTGCCTCCTTCATACCTCACTACCCTGACTTCATTAATACACACATGCTGCTATAAGCCAATCAATTATTCTGCTGCACTGATCAAACATACATTGTAATTTATATAACTCTACTTAGAGAGGTTGCATTCCTGCTCTTTAGGTTAGTCTCAGCTGCCTCCAGTGCCATAAACCAGCCAGCTGGGTTTCTCTGGAATTGCATGCTGGGCTCTGGTTTAAAATAAACCTTTGGGGAAATGTGTGAAAGTGTGTCTATTTCTTCCCAGCCCTAGCCCCAATAAAAACATTGGTTTTGAGGAATGGGGATAGGCAAGGAGTTTGGCTTGTGAATTTGGTGGATTGTGCTCCTCAGTTTAATACTTACCAGCTCGCAACGGTCTGGGAACACCACCAACAAAAATGGTTTTTCGAGGATCCAGAGGCTGTGAACCATCCATTACGAAGTCACTATCGCTTAAGTTCCAGGGACGGATCTGAACCTGTTAAAACAAAGCAGCTGCATGATTCTAAGTGCATTTGTGGGACACTGCCATTATAAATCCACATAAGATGCCAGTGAACCCTTCAGCCTATAACAGAAGGGTTATGCTCCACAGTTATCACATGCTCACTGTCCAATCTGAGATAAAAGCAATTTTTGAGGATTTTTTTGGGATGGGGTGAGGTGGCAGATTAGCTCCTTTCTTGCAGGAACAATTTTGCTTAATCTCTCCCCATTTTATTCATTAGGACAAATGAAATGCGTTCACTCATTTTAGCATCA